CAGAGGAACTCAACTTCTGACCCATGGGATGGGTGACTCCCGTCTGGCTAGGGCTGGATTAAATATTCCCTCTATGCACAGGCATCAGCTAGATTCAGGTCAATTTTGCTTTCTCCTGTGACAGGGCAGCACTGAATTCCAAGCAATGTCTAACAATTGTTGTGTGCTCTCTCTCCCAAGGGCACAGATCCTCTCTCCATGCCACATGGCTGCTGCTGGGGATGGGATGGGGGTGTCACTGGCAATTCAAGACTGTCTTTACTACACTCTTCAGTGTCTCTTTCAGCTATATGACGTTAAAATCAGATATTGTGAGAGCTCTCGTGATTTTTGGTTCTTATGAAATGATTATTTTTTTGTGTGTAGATAGTTGTTACATTGGTGTCCTTCTGGAGTGATGATCAGTGGAGGCTTCTGTTTGACCATCCTGCTCCACCCCGTGTAGTCTTTTATGATTAAGAGTCTGGCTCAGAGTAGTGTATAGAATGGTTTTTCCCAATAGTCAAGATTAGTTTGCACTCATGTAGCCATGAGCCTTTTTTTTAATGTCTCATGTCCAATCTGTAATATCAAAGGTGTATTCTCTAGGAGACAACATATGAATAAACGGCCCATCCAGGGTAAAACTTCTGTGTTTTAAGTAATCATATGAAAAAATCCAAAATAACATGATTACTAGTAATAGCTGTATTGTAAACAATTCCAGACCAATATTTTGATTTTAGATAAAAAGAAAAAATTAAGAGAAGAACCAGCTATATTTTAAAATTTTATTATTTTCAGCAATATGCGTATTAGTGCCTAGATATCAACGGTCATACCAATAACTGACTGTAAAAAGAAATCCAAGGACAAAGAGATTTATTTGAGAAGTCCATGACATAAAGGGCCATTTCGTATTATTTTAGCCTAGAATACAAACCAAGAGGAAGACATATATACTGGAACTTTAAAATGTCTTACTTTTTTGAAGTATTCTAGAAGGGTTACACTCCCAGTCTGAATTAGTATTTCTACTTTGAAATTGTGGAGTAATGAAATCAAAAGGAAATGTTTTGCCTTACTCTCACCATTTATATAGAGACAAAATTTAAAAAAAATCCCTCTTCCTTTGTGTTCCCTCTGGGACACCGAATTCAAAAATAAAAGAAACACTCAGATTAAATTTTTGTCTCTTTCTAGAAAAACGTTACATGCATATGAAGAGAAACTATAATCTACAATTACTGGGTTTATTTTAATTTGTTTAGGAGTGCATAGTGAAATGTTTAAAAAATCTGAACTAATATGAAAGAAATAAAAGACAGAAACTAAGCAGGTACTATAGAGAAATTATTCTGAAATACACAGAACATAACACCAGTTATTTACTGTGATGATACCTAAGATATAGCGCTAAGAAATTATCCCAAGGTCCCGTCCCGTCCGGCCCCGTCCCGCCGCCCGCCAGCCAGCCATGAGCTCCACGAAGTTCAACAAGGGCCCCTCGTACGGGCTGTCGGCCGAGGTCAAGAACCGGCTCCTGTCCAAATATGACCCCCAGAAGGAGGCAGAGCTCCGCACCTGAATCGAGGGACTCACCGGCCTCTCCATCGGCCCTGACTTCCAGAAAGGCCTGAAGGACGGAACGATCTTATGCACACTCATGAACAAGCTACAGCCGGGCTCCGTCCCCAAGATCAACCGCTCCATGCAGAACTGGCACCAGCTAGAAAACCTGTCCAACTTCATCAAGGCCATGGTCAGCTACGGCATGAACCCCGTGGACCTGTTCGAGGCCAACGACCTGTTTGAGAGTGGGAACATGACACAGGTGCAGGTGTCTCTTCTCGCCCTGGCGGGGAAAGCCAAGACTAAGGGGCTGCAGAGCGGGGTGGACATCAGCGTCAAGTACTCGGAGAAGCAGGAGCGGAATTTCGATGACGCCACCATGAAGGCCGGCCAGTGTGTCATCGGGCTGCAGATGGGCACCAACAAATGCTCCAGCCAGTCGGGCATGACCGCGTACGGCACGAGGAGGCATCTCTATGACCCCAAGAACCATATCCTGCCCCCCATGGACCACTCGACCATTAGCCTCCAGGTGGGCACAAACAAGTGTGCGAGCCAGGTGGGCATGACGGCTCCTGGGACGCGGCGGCACATCTATGACACCAAGCTGGGAACCGACAAGTGTGACAACTCCTCCATGTCCCTGCAGATGGGCTACACGTAGGGCGCCAACCAGAGCGG